ATGCTTCTACTGACAACTCATCAGTAAAGTGTAGACTAGATAAATGTCATCCCAGTGCTGAAGCGGGCAGGAGACCTGATGACAAAGAGTATGGAAAAGGCCAAGGTACTCAGTGCCATTGCCACCTTCTTTACTGGTAAAACTAGCCTTCAAGAATTCAGGTTCCTGTGACTAGAGGGAAAGTCCAGGGCAAGGAAGGTTCACCCTGAGTGGAGAAGGATCAGGTTAAGGAACATTCAAACAGACCAGACATGTACACGTTCAGATAGGATACACCCAGAGGAACTGTGGGAGCTTGTCAATGTCACTGCGAGGCCACTATTGATTATCTTCAAAAGGTCATGGCAATTGGGGAAGGTCCCTGAGGACTGGAATAAAGCAAGTATCACTCCCATCTTCAGGAAGGGCGAGAAGGATCCAGGAAAATACAAACTGGTCAGCCACACCTCTATTCCTGGGGAAGGAGATGGAACAAATTATCCTGCAAACCATTTCCAAATGTGTTAGGGACAAGCAGATGATTGGAAGTGATCAGTATGGATTTATGATGAGGGAATCTTGTCTCACAGAGTTCAGCAAACTAAGTCCTGTACCTGGGCAGGAACAGCTCCATGCACCAGGGTAGGCTGGGCACCAACTGGCTGAAAAGCAGCTTGGCAGAAAAGGATGTGGCATGCTGGTTGTCATCAAGTTGACCTTGAGCCAGCAACATGCCCTTGTGGCAAAGAAGGCCAATGACCTCCCGGGCTGTGTTAGGAGAAGCGTTGCCAGCAGATGGAGATAGGTGATCCTTCCCTTCTCCTCAGCCCTGGTGACTGGGTCCAGCATCTAGCTCTGGGCTCCCCAGTTCAAAAGTCATGTGGACATACTGGATAGAGTCCAGCAAAGGGCCACAAAGATGATGAACAATTAGAACATCTGTCATACAAAGAGAGGCTAAGAGAGCTGGGACTGTTCATCCTGGAGAAGAGAAGGCTCAGGGTGGTATAATCAATGTATAGATACATGATAGGAGGTTGTAAAATAGGTGTAGCAGAACTTTTCTCAGTGGTGCTCTATAAAAGGACAAGAGGCAATGAACACAAATTGATATACAGGAAATCCCACTTCAACATAAGAAAAAGCTTCTTTACTGAATGGTTAAACACTAGAATATGTTGCCCAGAGATGTTCTGGAGTCTCCATCCTTGCAGATACTCAGAACTTGACCAGACTCAGTCCTAGGAAAACTGCTCTATATGATCCTGCTCTGAGCAGGGGGGTGGACCAGATGATCTCCAGAGGTGCCTGTCAGCCTCAATTATCCTGTGATTTTCTGAAGGTTTAGCCAGCAGTACCCTTGTAATACCTGTACAAGTGGTAAACGCTCCACAGCACAGTAGGAAAATGCAGCCCTCTCTACATCAGTGTGCACCTCAGACAAACCAGAAGTGTTAGCTAGTTGGCGGTCTGTGGAATCACATGCGCCGTAACTTACTTTGGCTTAGCATTCAGATCCTGAACACTCTGCTTACAGTTCAGAGAAATTAAAAATGCATATAGAAGGAAAACTGCTTGTGAAAGATTATAGCTGGCTTTGCTTCACGTGTTCTTCCACTGGCAACGGGAAGTAGATCTGGCTTGTAACTTTAGTGCTGCCATATAAAAAGGCCTGTCCACAATTAAGATAAAATCCTTACTGAATTTAGTGGAATGCCACTGGCATTACCATCTCTCTCTTCCCATACCTTCCTCTAATTCCCTCAAGCAGACTTACTTTGGCTTGAGAAAGCAAAGCTTTTTGGATAGTTTCAGCAAAATCTGGGGTTTTTTCCCTCTCTACTTTTGTGCAAGCTTTAATTACTTCCAAACAAAAATAGTTCCAGAAATGACCTCTGACTGTGAAATGTTTTCAACAGAATATAGGGGGATTTTGTCTGATCTTTTAAAATGTAGTAAAAGCATAAAATATACCGGATCCAATGATGGTATGGAATTAATTCCTTGTAAGAAATGAACATCTATAGCCATGCAGCTGTATTAAGACCTGGAAAGAGACTGGAGCTTTTTTTGCGCAATGTATTACACATCTCTAAACCACATCAGTCCAGTTGGAATATGAAACAAATAATTAATCTTTTCTGATTTTCCCCCATTTAAGTAAAAACACAGAATAGTTTAAATAACAAGAGGGGGTGTTTCTAATACTGCAGTCACCCACAAAACATGACCTCGTATCGATATAATTGAGGCCAAAATTGAGTTTTTTTCAATGTTGTTTGGTTAAAGGAAAAAATGGAAGTTTCCTTACAAAAAGCCTAGCCCTTTTAAAAATAAAAAACACAGGGTGAAAAAATTTGGAAAGAAACAACTAAAAGTTTTCTCCCCCTTCTAACCTGGAGACCATTTGATATCCTACTACCATTTTAACACAACCTCCTCCTGCAGTTTATCAGCCACTGCTGGGAGATACTTTTTTCACTGGCGGCCAGAAGAGGGAAAACCACAATGCAGTGATGATTTAGCCCCATTCCTATAGCCTTTCTTTTTCTCCTCTTCTTCTACAGCTCATTCTAACCTGCCTTGTGTGAGCACTTTCCTGGAACCCTTTTCCAGTGATTAACAACAGTACAATACTCAAGTAATGCTCAAAACTGAACACAAGACATTTGCTAATCTTCACTGCTTGCTGGCATTAAAATAAATGTTCCACATAATCATCTGTCACATATAGCAGTCTGGATAAGCAAAAGGCTAAATTAACTTGATGGAAAACAATAAAAACCTGCACTCATAATGCACACTCAGAAAACCTGAGAACTGTGTAGAAATGGATCTGTTTTCTGCATTATATCATGGGATGTTACTTCTCGTTTAGACATTTAATATGAAACAAATTTAAAAAAAAAAACAAAACAAAAACTCTATGCAGTCAAACCAAGGGGATAATGCAGAATTGTGCTGCTAAAAGTGGGAAGTTGACACTGTCCTTTGAGCAAAGCCATTTGAAAGAGCAGATGAGAACAGAGGCTGGACTGGCATCAAAGCCAGCGAGACAATTTCAAAGCTGATCTAGAGTCCCTAGAGAAGACAGGGAACCTGTCTGGATTCAAAAGTGTGATGGAAAAGCACAAGAAGAGCATGCCTGGTGCTTGGACATCAAGCCATGTGCACATAGGCCACAGATCCTATATAAGGGTGCTTATATAGGCCCAAGGCTCCAGGCAGTGCTGCAGTGTAGCAGTGCGGGGTAAATCTAACTCTGCTCTATGGGAAAAGGCAACAAGGGGACAAAGAAGGGGGCAAAGAGGAAGGAGGAAAGCAAGAATTCAGAAAGCCTGGGAAGGGTTTTAGGACTGTTATGAAGGTTGAGAACAACAGAGACTGGGAAGAACAGGGATATGTCCTGGTCCTGCAGTGCTTCCGGGCTCTGAGGCAGAGCTGTGCACACTAATGACAATGAAGTCTGGGGAAGAAGAGCAGGAAGAGAAAGAAATTGATGGGAGGGGACACAAATGACACAAAAGCATCTTAAAGACATGTGATTTGTCCAGTGCAGCTGCTGCCATGCA